GCCTTAAACTTCATGACACTTCTTCTATGTCGTTTAATTCGTCAAATCTTGCGATTCAGATTCTTTATGGACTTCCTCCGGCCTATTTGTCGTCCCTGTTACAAGAATATCATCGACCAAGAAGTCTTCGTTCATCCTCCAAATCACTTTCTACTGTCCCCATTGTGTACTTTTGTGACATACTCTGAACGTGCGTTTTCCCTTTGTGCACCTCCATCAGTAAGGAATACTCTTCCCGATTCTCTTAAAATTGAACCAAAACCCACTAGTTATTAAATGCGCTTTTATTTAGCAAATTATACTATTGTTCTGCAGTATGGTCCAGCACATCTAAGTAAAACAATCTCAAAGCTGCAAAAAAATCCAGAATTGCGCTGCAAGAATAATCACTAATGATGTAAATTTGACCATAAAACACCGGTTCTTCAGGAGTTAAGCTGGCTCCCTATGAGTTAATATTAGATAAATACGGTAGGCGTTCTCGCGTTTAAGTGTGCGAAAGGGCTAGCACCTAGTGATCGCTTTGTGACAAGATCTACTGTTCATGATCGCAACACAAGAAATAAGGAGTATCTTATAATATTCCCTCTTATCAATCGGCCGCTGGTCAAAGAACTTTTCTATATGCAGAGCAACTTAAACTCTGGAACTCATTGCCACGTGCGAAATCACTGCTGCAGACAGCCTGCGTACTTTCAAAAAGAAACTTAGAGAATTCCTTTTTGAATCATTTCTTGTCAGCTAGGAGAGTTACCTATTGATGTTTTTATCTATTGTTGTAATTTTAAAATTTGTCATATTTAAAACTAGCGTTATGAATTATTTATAAGCTTATGTACGTTGGGTCTGAAAAACCCTGATTGGGAGATTCAATAAAGTTTATTTATTAAAAATGGTGAAGCGAAAACACAAAATCCTCTGTTATTGTTTTTCTTTCCAAACAATTTTTGTTCAGACCAAATCAAAATATACGTACGTGATTTATTGACCTTTTGCTGTTCCCTAGAACAAAAACTTCAACTGGTTTTGCTGCATGACTCAGACGCTTGGGCTCCTGATGAGTTTTCGAAGAAATGAATTAGAAATAATAATAAGAAAAAGTAATTAATTCGATCAAATATACCGTGATTTTAGTGCTAATGAATAGCATCTTTGCTTCAAAAGAGATATTAAAATTTTCATGTTTTTAACTGATTTCCTTTACTTTAGTATTTTTATTTTCAAGTTTGAGATTAAAAGCAGTAAGATTACTTGGCCCCTCTCTCTTTTATGTGATGCCTCATCTTATGGAGCTGGAGCGGTCCTGTCTCATAAAATTGATGGACAATTTCGACCGGTGGCCTTTGCTTCTTGCACTTTGACTCCTGCTCAAAAAAACTATTATCAGCTAGAAAAGGAGGCCTTCAGTATCATCTTTGGATTAAAGAGATTCCGACAGTATCTCTATGGTTGCTCCTTTACATCGTAGTACCGGAGCACATGTAGATGCAGATAGCATGTCTCGCCTTCCCTTGCCTCTGACATGGTCTCCCAAATGTGGAAATGTTGAATGCTATTTTTGGACACCGAAGTTGTCACTAATGTAACCAGTCAGATGATCAAGAAGGAGACTCACTTGGATCCAGTCTTAGCCCAAGTGTACAATTACGTCATTAGCGGCTGGCCACATGTAGTAGATCCCAGTCTGGTACCATTTAAAACAAGACAAGAAGAGTTAAGCACACGGCATGGTTGCTTATTATGGGGTGCTCGTGTTATTGTTCCTCCATCGCTCCAAGAGAAATTGTTGCAAGAACTGCATGACACTCTCCCCGGGATTTCTCGAATGAAAGCTTTGGCGCGATCTTATGTGTGATGGCCCAACATTGATTCTGACATTGAATTAACTAGCTGTTTCGTCATGTAGCACTTGCCAGTCTGTGAGATCAAATCCTGCCCCAGTTCAAATTGATCCTCGGACCTTTCCAGGACGACCGTGCTCTCGCATTCATGTGGATTTTGCATGGCCAATCTCTGGCTGTACCTACCTTGTGGTTGTAGATGCTTACACTAAATTTCCAGAGGTGGTCAAAATGTCTACCACATCAGCTAAATCAACTGTGACCACCTCGCGTGACATCTTCAGTTAGCATGGTTTCTCAGAAATCATCGTGCCAGACAATGGGCCCCAATTCACTGCTACAGAATTTGAACAATTTTGTACCAGCAATGGAATACTACACCGTTCTTCTGCGGCGTTCAAGTCATCTACAAATGCTCAAGCGGAACGTGTCGTACAGATTTTGAAATCAGCTATTAAACAAGCCCACCTTACTATTGCAGATGTAGATGCTGTTATTGCAAATCATTTATTGGTTTACCGGACCACGCCTCATTCCACCACAGGTGAACCACCCTCACTGCTTCTCATAGGCCGGAGACTGCGCAACCGGCTGGACTTGCTGACAACTTCAGCTGAAAAATATGTTGAGGCTCGCCAATACATTACCATGCTGAGTCGTAATGCACATAGAGGTTTCCGCACGTTCAGTGCCGGCGATTCTGTTGTGGCTACAAATTTTGGAAGGGGAGGAAAATGGGTGAGCGGAGTAGTTACTGAAGTCCTTGGTTCTCGTCATTATATTGTCAGGTGGCAGGTTTCCTGTGGAAACGAGACACATAGACCAGCTGTTGAGACGCCCTACAGGGCCCAGTTGTTCGAAGACCGATTAGCGCTTAACCCAGGGTTAAATTTGACCCGGGTTTCTTTTTCTTATGCTCAAAAACATTTTCTCGGGTAATTTTCTCTGTTATTTTTAAGAGTATCCAATCATCAACTTCTTGACAAAAAGAATTAAACTGAATCTTCTTTTTAAGCTTTCAAATCTGAATTCAAATTTCGCACTAACCCTGGGTTATCTTAACCCAGCTTTGAACAACCCAGCCCAGATGTGGCTTCGACGGGTGGCTATTTAGCATCTGAATACCGGTCTATGCCTCTTGATGTATGTCCTGATATGGATTAGCCTTGTGAGATTGTTCCCGACTAAACCATACATGTACCGTCTACTTATATCCATCCTACAGCAACATTGGATGAGTCCATTCTGGCCAGAACTGGGGATTCTAGTGCTCAAAACAAGAAACCAATAGTGTCGATGCTTGTTACTGACCCCCCCCCCCCCCCGTGATTTCTCAACCTGCTCCTTGCCAGAGATTTCTCATTCTGCTATTGTCGATGACACCCTGGTAGTTCAACCGGGTTCTTTATGTGAATATCCTGCAGATACGGAAAAACGTTATCCTACTCGGACAACCCATAGGCCACCAAGACACTGGAAAGATTACGAGTTAAAGTGATGGCTGTAACTGGCTCAAAACGTTTTGCTTTTGTATCACGTCTTTTCGAATTCTATTTTATTTAAAAAAGGGAGATGTTATATCGCGACTTTGTTTTGCTATAGTTGTTACATTATACGAAGTTACGTCATAGTTGTGTTACGTGTACATGGATGCGCCTGCGCAGGAGTGAGAACTAGAAATGAAAGAGACTAGAATGTTCATGATCACTGCTCGTTTTGTTTCATAATTTCGTCCTTGGATTTCTAAGTTACAACATATACATATACATAATATTGAACGTAAAAATCAAATAACATATCTGGGTGTATATATTGATCAACACTTACAGCAGGGACCACAGATTCAACACATAAACAACAAGCTAGTGAAAAATGTAGGCATCATTAATCAATTAAGATATTACGTAGACCTTCATACTTTAAAGTAGTTGTATTTCTCCTTCATTTATCCATATTTAACTTATGGTATTACACGCTGGGGCAGTGCTTGTAAGACCAGGTTAAGTAAGATTAAAACTTAACAGAATATATGTGTTCGTAGCTTGTTCTTTGTTTATAGCAGGGACAATGCTATGCCATACTTCAATCTTTTAGAAATTCTTACACTTGAAAACATTTACAAATTCAAAGTAGCCCTTTTCACGCATAAAATTACTAACAATGCAACAAACGTCCCTACGATATTCAAAGGAACCTTTACGCTAGCCTCTGAGGTTCATAGTTACATCACCAGCTTTGTATCCAACCTTAATTTTCATCGGCCAAGAATAAACAATAATTATGGAGCTATAACTATTTACTTTTGTTGGGCCAAAAATGTGGGAAAAAATTCTCTCTAAATAAAAAAAAAAGCTCCCGTATAACAGCTTCTATAAGCAATACAAAGTGTACCTTTTAAACATCCAGAGAGTAATTTGATTTCACTGCCCTAACTATCAATAATGGCTTCCATTGTTTTCTATATAAAATTGTAACCATAACTTCATGCACTTTTAATTTCCTGTCTCAGTTATACGCTATCTAAATAACTACGCCAGTTAGTTACTCGTGGTAGTGACCAACTCGAAAGCCTAAGCTCCTTTGATCACTGCTCACATTCCATCTTTGATGTTTTATGTAATTTTGTTGTTTTAATTTACTTTTGTGATTTTGTAGTAAACTATTGAAATAGTGCAATAAATAAAAAATCTGAATCTGAATCTGCAATCCGCTAATAATTGTAGCTTTTAAGTCTGATATTTTATTTACGAAAATGTTGACATGATTAAGTGAAGTACACAATTTTTTAATTTTTCGAATTTTCTAAATTAGCAAGGGAATAGTCTTCTTGATGAGCTAGTGCAACATATTAACCAAAAAACCGATTTGAAAAATTTTATTTATAAGGAAAGCATGTAGAACTGTGTAATTGCTGTGAAAACCATGCTCTCATTTGTACTGTGCCTATTATACGCGTGCTTAATTCTCCCCTCTGTTTGCATTGCTAACAGTAACTGACTATTGTTTGATGGTCTTATTTCTGATATTTCAAACACGTGTTGAGATGTCATCCTTGGGTTCCAGTTTAGGTGAATTAAATCTTGGATGTTGAGGTTTTGGAGAGAAAGAACCACCCAAGTCTCTGTCAGTAACCTGAACGGGTTCGATGCAAACACATTGTCGTCGGCATCTTCTCGAGAATTTCTTCAAAGTATCCTTGAATATTCCCATTCTAAAGCTGTAGACGATCGGATTGACCATAGAATTTGCCAGATGAAGAACATTTACAAGCGACACTGCAATCGGTCCAACACATGGTGGGCGGCAAAATGGTCTGGCAGTGTACACAATAGTCGCTGGCAACCAAAACACCAGTGACACAGCGATAACTATGAAAACTGTTCTTGACAGTCGTAAGTTGCGTTCAGCTGTCTGGCGAGCGTGGATCTCTTCACCAGGAATGACGTTTGAGCGCCATTTTCTACGTATTTGAAGGTAGCTTCCACAAATCGCTAATAGTGCTATGAAAAGGCACGCATGAATGGTTAGAATAACGTATTTCCTCTCTAATTTGGTATGATATAAGGATAATACAGACAGCCCAAAGAAGCAGAATCCAAGACCCCAGACAGCGGTTATGACGAAAATGTAAGACCGAGTGCTAGTCGTGCGGTGATGAACAGGCCACAAAACGGAATAAACACGTTCCAAGGAAATAAGCGCGAGAAAAAGCACTGAAGTACTCGACGCAAGAACTTGAAGTGCAGATGTTGGATTTGTAAAACTTTTCTCTTTACCTGGAATGGCCGTCATCTTAGCAATCTTCTCTGTGCCCAGCACAATTGGTTCGGCAATTCCCACAAGCAGATCAGAAACTGCGAGGTTAATAAGAATGGAATATGTTCGCTTCAATTGGGATCGCTGGGTCCAGAAGACAATTATTGTGAACGTGTTTCCAACAATGATAACGAATGCCTCCAATGTATAGATGACAATTAAGCAGGCAATAACAGTCGAAGAAAACATCTCTTGGCTCTTTCTGTGATCTGTGAGGAAAACAGTATCGTAAGGGTTATACACTCTTTCTTTTTTTCCTAAAAGAATCTATTTTATAAGAATAATGAGGCTGAAACTTTCAAAATTTTAAGAATATTTTAAGAATAAACCCGAAAAAGGAGGATTATTTTGAGTGATGAAAATCTGAAAAATATGTTATTAACTTAGCCCATAGTTAATTGAGTGGAATGGTTATGAAACCCGTCAGACTCCTTTGTTATATGTTTTTGTGGACCTGAAAGTGCACAACGTTCAAAAGAATTCCTATCATTTTGATTGTATTGACCAATAAAAACGTTGCATTAATTTATTCCGTAACAATTTGCCAACAGAAAACAAAGGATTGTGCACTTTCACGGTGCTTTGAACATAAACTGCAGCACTGTTGTTTTTATCATTGATGTTTGCCGCTTTTCATAACCAGTCTCCTCTAATAACTATGCTTAGCCGTACCAAATTATTGCTTCCTTCCACGGCAAAAATACCCAACAAAACGCAGAAACCTGCATTGGTTATAGCCAAATGTTCCGTGCTAATGACAGTTCGATGAACTGTACATGAAATATATGTCTGTAGTATACAGGGAAAAAAATATAGACAACCGCTAAAAGGATATGATAAATTCTTTCTTTTTTATTATAATTCAAGTATAATATAAGAATATTTTCAGGCGAAAATCGGCAGAAAATAGGAATATTTACTTTGGCCCGAAAGAACAACATTCTTATATAAAACAAGGGAGGGTAACTATACCTAAAAATCAGAGAAATAAATGAATATTTTCGTTAGGTCTACTTCGTCTCCTTAACTAGTCAAAACTTGCTGAAAGCTTCCATTCATTCCGCAACAAAAATTGCAAACAAATAACCATATTTATAGGATTTTTACAGGCTGTAGTAATGAATTTCGGTCTAATAAACAATTATTTGATGAAGCTTTTGTGATATCCGGAATGATCAAGGTCGAGATAAGTGTTATCAGCCGAGACGTACACGTACCGAGACCTTGATTATTTAGGATATCACAAAAACTGAATCTGTTTGGCACATAAAATGGAACGGACCATTTCGGTTTGGTCCGACCGGAATATTCGGGACCAGCTTTGAAGGTGGTCCAATTTGACCGGTCTGGTCATTTCGGTTGGTCGGACCGAAATGTCCCTTTCCATTTGACAAAAAACTGTTACCCCCAGTACCGCACTTTTGTATCCTACTTACAAGAACAGTAACTAAAAGCGAAGGCTTGGGTAAGGTCTTTGCAACCTGAATGTACCGTTCCATTGGGCACGTGAAATTTCCGAAATTTCAAACCGTAATTTTTGTTGAGTGGAGAGCACCCCTTGTCACCTCCGGCATCCCCATTTGTTGCTACTTTGCGAGCAACAAATCTACCTGTTTCTACTCGCTTCTTTTCGACAAAAGGCAGGAGGGGTGCTATTATATAGTTAATTCCACTTTTGTCAGTCTGTGATAACATGGACTTTAAGAGCCAACAACGCGGGCGGCAACGAGAACGTCGAAAACCTATAGGTTTTATGAGCAAAACAACAACCATGCACGTGCATCACACTTTTGTGTACATTTCTTTTCCCGTTTTTGCACGACTACGACGTGAAAATGCCTAATTTCGCGTTTTATGGAGAACGTAAACAAGCAACGACGAAATTTAATTTCTCGTTCTGAACTTGGATATTGTCCCTAGGAATTTAACTCCAGGAGGGTTCTCCTTCATTTGACAAAGTAAGTAGGTAGGAATAGTTGCGATAAAGACTGAACGAACGCAAATTCACTTTTTTTAGGCCACGTTCTCGATGTCGTTACGTCGTTGGATCTTATAATCCCTAATGTAATACAAACTATGATGATGATTCCATGCAACTTTTAGTTCATAAAAAAAAAAAATGTCAGCTATGAAACCTAAAAAAGGTCTGAGCGCAAAACCAATCTTACCGCCTTCTCTGTTCCGGTTTATATGATGGCCTCATTGCTGATGATCGCTGCCTTTAAAATAGGTCATTGAGCTCTACCGAACGCATTATCAAGTATCCGGGTCTTTTAGGGCCTGTTTACATGGAGGTGGGGGACCTCAGGTGGGTGAGGTAACCCGCTTAGTGGTGTAACCCGCCTGTTCATATTATCTCTCATTCTAATTTGATCGCGTTTTCATAATAGGTGGGGTGACCCGCCTCATCTAACCTCACCTGCTTGGGCTCCCCCACCTCCATGTAAACAGGCCCTTAAACGCAGTGTACTTGCCATTTTAAAGCTCAACAATTGTAAGCGTAAATAATTGTCTTTTTATAGAGCGGATATCAGCAAGGCATATTGCACGCAACTATGTACCATTACAATTTAGGGCCTCTTTACATGGAGGTGGGGTCCCCAGGTAGGTGAGGTAACCCGCTTAGGTGAAGTAGCCCGTTTGTCCATATAATCTCCCATTTTAATTTGATCACGTTTACATGATAGGTGGGGTGGCCCGCCATATTTTACTTCACCTGCTTGGGGTCCCCCACCTCCATGTAAACAGGTCTTTATAAAATAGCTAAAATAGTACGCGCGCTCTGATTGGTCGATAGGAGTGTTTGTATGAGAGAATGTAAACATGGTTGTGGCGTCAAGATCAGGGCGGATAAATGTAACCTTTATCCGCCCTGGTCAAGATGTTTTGCTTTTCGCGCGCTAGTCACGCGAGCACGAATTTGAAAAAGTTTTCGAGTTCAAAACTCGACAAGTTTACTTTATTTACCCATTCCTTCGTCGGCTGAAACTTGGAAAATCGTCTCAAAGAAAATGTGTCACTTTTTTTTCAATTAAGCTGACATTTTAAGCGAGAAAAGTCCGTATTCTGGAAAGCATCTTTTTGCAAAACAAGAACTAATTACGCGTGCAAGACTTCGTAGACAAGACTTTGCAACTGGTAAGAATTTCTCTTTTAATCAGAGCCATGCAAAGAGTTTTGCGTTTTGTTTCGGGAAAGTTATTTCATAAAAGCAATAGAAAACTTTATTGCTGTGTTTGCGTAGCCTGATAGAAACACTCGAGGCGTTGGGAGAATTCTTGACAGTTATGCAAACCAGAGACGAAGTCGAGGGTTTGCATAACTGTCGAGAATTCTCCCAACCCCTCTCGAGTTTATATCAGGCTATGAAGACACGGGAAACGTTTTCTATTGCTTAACTGATATATTACCCATCGAACTTTTGTGCTCACCCTAACAACACTGTTATAATAGCCGAATAATAATAAAGTAAAAAAAAAAAAATCCAAACTTGGCTTATTATTTTTTTTTGTGGATATTTCATTTCTTATATTTTAAATTGGTATACATTTTTTAACCATATAAGTATTGGAAAAAATTTTTCCAAGAAGCCTAATCGATGCCTTGTCTTCATGGGCCTCGCATAAAGGAGGTCGTGCACAGTTTGTGAATGAATATTGTATATTTCAGGGGCACCCAACGAGAATATAGCTCAAAACCACTTAAACATAGCACTGTTAAACGTATTTTAGTATTTAAACGGTAGATATAGGCATATTTTTATCCCTTAAAGTTTTTTATCTGCTCGCATTTCCTACCTGAAAGTCTTGTGATCCGAAAAAAAGGCTAACGAAATTCTAAGTGACCTTTTTAGGGTAAAAATCTGTTAAAATGGGCAATTATACCATTTTTAAGATGTTGGAAAATCATTGTAGAGGCAGGCAAGCAAGAAATTTTACAACAAATGTTCCGAAAATTCTAGATCTCATACCGTCTTCCGAACAGATATTTTCCGAAAATTGACGTTGGGAGCCTCTGATATTTAAGGACAAAACTCAAATCTCTTTCATTTTCTTATAGTCAACAACTATCATATCTCCTTCATAGAAAATAAGAACCTAATTAAATAAGTGCCCCAGAATACAACAAAAACTATTTTGCCAGACTTAAGACTGAAGTAGGTTCTTATACGCGGGTGTTAGTACTTCAGTAACATTAATGGCTCCTGATAAGGTTGGTTCTTCGCGCGCCTGACATAGAAACAGCGATAAGCGGAACAGTGTGACTGCACTGCAATAACAGGTTTTTCTGACTTAAATTGAGACATTAAACTAACTGCCCGGCCTATGAAGCATGAGATTGTGAAGAAAGAATCGGTAAAAAAGATTAAGAAGCTCTGAATAATTTCGAGCAAAAGAGCGAAATGTACAAAGGCCTTAAAGTACAACAAACAAACTTTTTTTCCTGAAACTAGGCTATTTTTGCTAATATGAGAAGATCTTATCAACCGAAACTACCATTTTCTCACCTCGCTAAGGTGACCTATTTATATTTATTCTAACCTTTTATAGAAGCTAAGCGTGATTAAAACAGAAAATTTTGTGTGTCTTCCTTACCTTAACACCACACTTTTTCCTAGTTTTATCTAAAGTAAACCCTTTCATGAGCAGAAGAAAAGCTGTTATATCGGCCAATACCTCTTGATGGCAGCAGATAGATGAAAATGCGCTAAGATACAGGTACGTTTGTGTCAAGAAATCGTACACGCTAGTTCGTTCGGAAGTCCCTTTATTGACACAGTTGCTTCCCGGAGCGTCACAGCAATAACAGACTTATTCAACATAAGTTGATGCAAGTATAGATTGTTTCAAATCCTTAAACTGAGGGGCTGACAGTTCTATTGATTTCGCTGTATATAAGGGTGCCCTCACGGTGTAATGTGAAGTCGTTTCTAGAATTAGATGAAAATTTCATAAAAAGAATTTTAATAAAATCCTGATTACTCCTTTTTTTGTTTGTTCAGGGTTAACATTGGAATCACAGATCGGAAATCAGCTTGTTTCCATTTAATCTCCAAATGTGATTCTGTTACTAAGAATCGCTTGTTTAATTTCTATGCTATACGCTGAACGTGACTACAGAGAATTAAAGTGCAATATTTTCTGTTTCAAAATAAAATCAGGCTACGTGGGAAAAGATGGCGTCATATTTGGTAACAGACATGCTAATCAGCTTTTATTATTTGTATTTTAGAAATTACGCAATCAATCAGACGTAAATATAAGAGAAAGATAATTAACAAATACGCTTGAAAGACCGCCTATATCACGTTCAGAACAAGAGAAACATACGATGCTGCAATATTAGTAAAATTCACAGGTTTTTGGGGAAAGTTTCAGAACGTTAAGGTTTCAAACAAAATTGCATTTCTTCGGACGATCAAAAGTCGACAAAACGAATTTCCAAAAATATTATTAGAAGACTTTAGGTCACCTTGAAGATCACAGATATTGCCGGAAAGATACTGAATTTCAAACATTATAAAGAAACAAAAAAACTCAGAAGAACTGAAATTTCTTTAATTTACGACAGCATCAAGAAAAATTTTCTATTTATCTCTGGGCATTATTGATGATAAATAGACCCTTTCTGAGATCATTTAGAAAAAATCCACCAACACAGCTAAAAAGAACGCCTTAAAACCGGAACGTTGCCAACTTTAACACCACACACCCTAAACACTCGAGCGGATTCCATACGGGCGAAACTCTTTATCCATTTTCACCCTTAAATTTTACATGCATTTTTCGCTCTTTTTTTCATGCATGTATACATTTCCACGAACCCTTTTATTTTTTATCTTTTGGCAATGATGAGAGGAAGCCATCAAACGTCAAGTTTCGTTTACATCGCTGATTCTTCTATTAAAATGCTGCCAAGTTTAAAAGGAATTTGTTGAAATTTAACAAAGATATAGCTCTGCAAGGTCACCGAATTTTGTATGGTGGCAGTCATTAGTTCGTTTCCTCCACAATACAGATGTTAGTACGTAAAATTTCGCGACTTTGTGAAGCAGAAGGTTCGCTCTCTCTGGACTTTAACCTTTAAACATGGTTAGTTACCTTAGTTTAAGGCCCTCTTTATAGCAGCGTCGATCAACATTCGCTTACTTCTGACTATACTGTTCTTTATCAAAAGTAGAAAAAAAAAACAGATTCACGAAAAATGTTTTGTCTTGGTATCTGGTGTTGTCAGACTCGGCTAACCCATAGTGTCATAACAGCTGAAATGCTTGCAAAATAGGCTCTAAATGTCCAAATGTCAATCATGTTCGAAGTTAGACATCAGCGTCCGAACCTCAAAACAAACGTCAAAATGTCAGTCTATACATGTTCAACTGTCATATCTTCTGGTGGCTTTTAAAAGAGGTAATAGTGAAGCTCAAATATAGACTTATTAAATTTATATAATTGAGAAATTCACACTAAGAGAATGGAAAATTACTTTTCATTTTGTACATCACCTGGTACATGTAAGGCGCCCGTTGATAAATTGAGAATTTACTTGAGACAATAACCTTGTAACCATTGCAAAGAAATCCACTGTGAATTGAGCCTGCGATCAAATGAAAACTAGTAACTTTTCATGAGGTAACTTGAAAAAAAATACGCAGTCTTGAGTTTAGCACTCATTTGCATACTCCAGAATGACAATTTCCTCTCGGTAGCTCTCACAACACATCTCACTTTTCTTGTACACGAAATTTCTGTCTCTTGAATATTCTGCTCAGTAAAATGTTCATGAGAGTCTAAGTCAATACAATTATTAAGGAAACAAAATTCGAGGATGAAACGAGCAGGATTCGATATGGAACATAGCAACAACCCTAACCCTAAATAGAAGCTAAGTAGCTAACCGTTTTTCAGTCAGTCAGGGCTAAACCCTAATTAGTATTGATAAGCGCTTAACCCTAATCACCATTCTCAGGGCTTAACCGTAATTATAGATGAATGAATCATGATAGGGAACTTAAGATAGAGACGTTTTCGGGGCGACGGCAACTTCAACCGGACGTGACATCATCATTTGTTGGATATTCCGCATGTTCGTGCTCACCACCTTGCCGTCGTGGTCCCGTCGGCGACGTGAAACTGGTCTGTTTGGCGTTGTGGCGAAAACGTGAGTATTTAACTTTCATTTCAATCAGGTTTGTCGAGTTTAGCAACCAAAATTTTGCAGATTATCGTTCTTAAATTGTCCTTGTTTTCTTTGAGGAACATTTCAAGCTCAATTTCCAAGCTCTGTTATCTAAACTTACATCTTTGAATGTTTCTATGTTTTCATGTCACAGAGTCAGGATCCAACTTGGCAAACAGCCATCCGTAAGTGAGCTTGACATGGACAAAATTTTCCCACGAGCCAAGTAAAAGTATCCAGACAAAAAATATGAACTCCGATATTTTAATTGTGTGTTTTTAGTTCGCTCTTTTCGTTAGAATATCGTATAAATGAAACGCATTGAAAATTATATAGAATAGTAGGTCATGCCATGTACTAACGTGGGAATACTGAAATAAAGTTGTTGCCGTTGTTGTTGTTGTTGCATGCAAGTATTTCCGGGGAATTATTTCAATACCAAACTAAGAATACGGTTCCTTGGTAGCATTTTAATGTTCCTGGAATTTGCAAGGCTTCGGCAAGCCTGTCGAGATCTTTTTTTTTCAACACAAAATTCTGCCTTGAACTCAGCTGCATCCTGCATGTTTTTTTAGCGCGAACGGATCGTAACTGTCCCGAGGAAAATCGGGATTTTTGGAGTCATACTATGGCGCGATCCATTCAACCAAAATTTCCGGAAATTTCGGCCCAAAACTCAATGGATCGGTTCGGTCCAACCGGAAAAGTTTCGAGAAAACGGGTCCACCTTTTGAGGTGGACCACTTTTCCCGGTCGGACCGGTTAAAAATTTTGGTTGAATGGATCGCGCCCATTTCCCACAAAACGAGAAACTCTTCATCCGATACATGTTGTCTGCATAGCAAATATTTATTCTCTTAATCCTTTATGTGAAGCCATATTTTCCTCTTCGGTATTCTTCTAATTAAAGGCGCAGTCCTTCTGAGTTCACTGCGATCTTAATGTTCGATTTTAGACGGGAAGCGACGGCTGCCTTAGTTCCAGGTTTTCTCTGCCAGTCCGGTCGCCGTCGTCCATAAAAAAGTTTCCATCTTAAGTTCCCTAATATGATTGTCATTCTGCAGTATGGAAAAGAGTGTTAACCCAACTTCTATGGGTCGACACCTGAGCCTACGATGCGATCATGTGAAACTGGTTAGCGATACCCTGTTTTGACAGCTACCGACTGACCACAGCTTGGATGTGCAATATCAGGTTGCAAGCTCGCAATCCAGCAAGAAAGTGTGACATTTCCCTTTGGATACCCTGTGGTGTGGACGGACAGGCGCACGGACGGACGGGAAATTCTGGGCTGGATAGATGACAAATTTTCTTAGCTATGGGGCTCCGCTAGCGCGCGCGTGGAGGTGCGCTTATGTTATAAACTGGTACTGCACGCAGGTTTATGATCTAAAAATTCAACTGGAAGCAAGAGAAGGGGCTGGCTGGAAGGTACTTTCAAGTCCGTTCTGTTGTTTCTGTTCTGACCTTTTCTCCAGGTTTTGCAACCTTTACTTTTTTATGTGTCACTTCTTTGCTGTTAAAGTAGATGAAGCTCATTTAAAGACATCTAGATGTGGATTACATAACCAAAATGCAACATTCGATAACATAAACATAAACATTGAAAGTTTAACCAGTAATTTGCGAAATGTAAGAATTCGATCTAACCTAACACAACATGCAAATCGGTTGGGCTGATATGTCAAATATGATAACAGCACGTCAGAAAACACCCAAAGTATTCATAAAGGCACTTAACAATGGTTAATATTAAGCCTTTATGGTCTTTGAACTATATTATATTCCGTTTATATTTTCTGCATGAACATCTGTTTTTCACTTTATTTCTTAATTAGGGCCAGAAGTCGATTGAATAGTTGGTCAACCGTTCTGATGCTTGTTGGGAGTAAAAGAACCTTCCAAACCATTTCCCAGTCTCTTTTGCTGAACAACCCTTATTTCCATGTTCTGTCGTCTATTTCTGCATAATGCCTTCAAAACGTCTCTTAAAATTCGCATTCTGAAACTGAAAACGAGAGGATTCATCATGGGATTTGCCTAGATGTAATGCATACACGTACGGCACCAGGCTATCAGAAATGCTTCGCTGGCACAATTCTCTTGTTGAGTAGACAACAAACGCAGACATCCAAAGTACAAGCGATGGAACAATTTCGATAAAAAGCGTTTGAGAAGCTTTGAATAATTTCGAGCAAAAGATCGAAATGTCAGGAAGGCTTACAAAGATAACAAACTTTTTTCTTCCGGAAACCAGGCTATTTGTTCCAATATGAGAAGAACAATAGTAATAAAGGGTTTAGTTTTATCGTTTGTCTCCCGATTGTCACTTTGATATTGATCGCAGCGTTTCGACCGCGCTGCAGGTCTTCATCAGGCGATAGTGTGGATATACTGAGTCGAACTTTTTGTACCACCGTGGTTGTTATAGTGATAGGTGTATCACAAACCTCGCTCAAGGTTGGTGTGTTTCGATCCAAAGCATTGTCGACATTGATGGTATCTTTCCATGTAGAATCTTCATTTACAAACCTTCCGATTGAAGGCGCTGTAAGAGCTACGTTATGGAAAGAAGCGAGTGACCTAAGCCTCTCTAATGCAAAAATGCTGGTTGAAAAAAATGAAGATTACGTAAAGGATCATGGTTTGATAGCTGATCAAAATGAGTTCTTAAAAATATTAAACAGAACCGTTATTAGAAAAGATTCAAATTATCATAAACCTAGCCTGCGAGCAAGCTCTCCTATCTGGGTAAGCGAAGTGAGTCGCGCGTTCCCGCGAGACTCGCTTCACTCGCCCAAATAGGAGAGCTTGCTCGCAGGCTATCATAAACCGGCCAAAAAATGCTTTACAACAACAAAGGGAAACATGAAATAGAAAGAAAGAGAGGCTGGAAGTAAAGGAGAAGAAGAAACATAGCAACGGTGGCGCACTTAGTTATTAGGAAACCTGTTAAGCATCGCGTTTACGTCAAACGGCAAACGTGAATTTGTACCACGTGACCAAGTTTCCCCTTTACTTGCCGTTTACTGGTAATTTCCTTACAGACTGCTCGCCAATTTCAAACTTGGAGGTGAGATACTGCCTAACTTTCTCTGAGAAGCCAACAGCGCAACCTTTTGGCTTATGATGTGCCCATCCTTCACTTAAACTCGACTGGAAAGGTTCGCTACCCTGTCTCTTGATAACATTGGTACTGTCGTCTTCTGAAAGGGTAAGGGATGAGAATTTTTCAACCCAGCTTAAATCTAGAGATTCCAAAGCTGTTCTACTGTCAAAAATAAAGGAAATGACCCATGAATGCCTGTGCTCAGTGGAAAAATAATTACACCATCAAGTAGCGACGCAATGGCCCTTGTTGCTGTCTATAGTGGAGAGACTGAAAGTGACTGAAAGTGAAGAATGATCATCGCAGTAAATTTTCCAGAGACTGTAAGTTGGTTATGAAAATTACAATTTTTTCTGTTTGACTTTGTGACGTGGTTTTGTCACAGTTTGCACAGACACACGTTACTCTTACGTAATGTTTTAACAGGAAACCAAACAGCATCATTTTATTTCCAAGTAGGTATATATTCAGCCGTTCTTAGCCACCATTTTGCCAGAACAAAGTATATGTATATATTAAGAGTGGTACACAAAAAAACAACTTACATGTAAAAACCTTTGTGTTTTTTATATCTTTACATACTTATAAAAATTGTAAAGGGTAACTGAGAATGAAAAAGAAAAGGTGTCCTGCATAGCAGTCTTTCAAAGTTCCTTTTAGCCAACAGGGAGTCGTACAGAGGCATGGGGCGAAAGCAACCAGAAAATTAGGAGCATAGGGAGGAGCTTATTTAGCCGGCCTTTTGCATGTATTTGTATATACAATGTAATAAGCGTGATCAGTACACCAAAAAATCGGTTGACTTATAAAACTCTTTGTTGTTGTCGTATGAAAAAAAAGTGTACAGGAAAATTGCAGATGAAAAGAATAGGGTTTAGTGATAAAAGGTCACATCAAATCAAGGAATGAGCTGAAACTAACGTAGTTCACTTGACAATTGTATGTCAGGCTTATAAGTGGAAAACGCTAAAAATTGTACATTGCTAGTTTTATTAACACCTTACGTAAATGACATTGGTTATGTATCGGACAAATCGAAGCTTCAACATGCCCCCCGGGGCATACCCCGGGCATTTGACACCTTTGCCGTCCTGGGGAGGAGGGAATTTGATTATCAGAGTCTTCCAGGGGATGGGGAATTTGAACTGCACCCTCGATTTCATGTAAAATCTTTGGCGTGGCGAGCTATCATAGGGGACGCGGTGTTAGAGGATTTTCCTGGAAAAGATTGTGCCTTTCTGGCCAATTGGTTACGAGGAAAGGGCTTAAAAAAGCTTTGTGCTGTACTTGAAGTATTTAAATTTTAAAATTTTTAATATTGGATTCAGGCTTTGAATGTATGAATGTATTTTATTGTTGTGTTTACAATGAAATACAATACCTATACCGGCGATTCAATACAACAACATAAAAATTAATAAAATAAAATAAAATAAAAAGCTCAGCTCAGCTACTTTGACCTACTGCAAGTATGTTAATTAATAAGGGGAGCGATGATGCATGTCAGTGAAATGGCCATGATGTAGTAATCTCAATAGGTGGGATCTTTTTTATAGAACGCTTTGTATGTTGCATGACGAAGAAAAGCTGAGCATTCAGTGACCTTGTAGCAGCGACTTCCGCCGTTTGCACGAGACTTTTGTTCGTAGTAAAGACTTTGCTCGACAACTGAATTCGAAGGCATTTCCGCCGTCCTTCAGTCATTTTTGTGCCTGTGAAATGTCCCCGGGGTGGGGGCATTTGATCACCTGAATGGACCCTAGTGAACGGCATTTTGGCCCGGGTAGGGAGGAATTTGAAGAATAATTTTCAAAAAAGTCAAATGCTCGGGGGGTTGCCCGGGGGGATGTTGAAGCTTTGATTTGACCGATACATTACTGTTACGGAAAATCATATTATAGAGTAAGCTTCGTATGAAGCAATGATATTGCATACATTCTTGGGAACAGCAAAAATGATTTAGAACAAACATTCTAAGTATAGTGTTCATAAATAAAAGGTTCTGGAAGAAAAGACACCTTATTTTATACCTCCGATGACAAGCAAAAAGGTCATATGGGTACCTTGGTTAAAAATATTTAAATAACTGCTGTAAATCTATCAATTAATACCAGTTCTAATTTAAAGTAAAAAGTTACGAGAATAAAATAAAAGTTGTCTGTACCACGAAGCATGCCTTCACTGTTTAGAGTGAGAGTCCTAAAGCTTTTTTAGCATGTATTCGAATATCTTATGACGATAAGCCCGCCACTCACCTCACCCCGCGCCGTACTATTTTCACTCAGCGGCTGGTCAGCGGTCACGTTTATGAGGTAAACATGGCGATCACTTCCTGATCACCGTTCTTGTCAATCCGAAAATCAAAATGCCAGCGTGATATGGCCTCGAGGATGAAGCATTTATGTTATTTGATTCATACTTCACATTCGAGTCGAAGCTTTGGTGGCACAGGTTATTTTTTTCGGTGGAATCGACGAGGGGAATTCGAACACTAGTTGTAGTGTTTGAATAGATGGAAGAAATGGTCGCATGGGGATGCAGGAATGGTAGGTTTAACGAAAAATTTCAAATTTTGCCCCTTGAATTGAAAGTGAAGTTCATTTGAATGCTTTCGTATGTATTTCTGACGGTTTCCGATCTACCTGCTGGATTTATATCTGCTACGCTTCATGTTGACAAGTCCCTCAAAATGGCGGCCAAACTTGGAGATTGCCGAAAATTAGGTAAGTTCACGGAGTTATAAAATTTTAGTAAAGGTCGGGCCGCAAAGTTTTTTTCTGTAATTACCTTTTCTATGGCACCTACTTCCTAGCAGTATTAGTTGGATCACTTAAGAACGCCTCACTTTTTCAAAAATTTACCTTGAATTTGATCGGTTTTCGCGTGTGTGACTGAAGCGAACCGATAAGGTGTCGTTCAAGTCTTCCTGTTTGCTTGATTGAAACGTGATGTTCACGGAAGTCGCCTCGATGGATAAGATAGAGTTAATATACATGACTGTGGTATTTGTTTTTTGCTGAGTCCGGTAGTTTTTTAAAAATTGTCCGCCAAAGTTGCCTCAAATTAACGTCTTTAAAAGCGTCACGACAGGCCTTCGCTCGAGTGAAATTTAATTTCCGTAAAACTCTGAAAAATAAAGAGATCCGATCAAACGGATTGTGGTTTTAGTATAGGTACATAAATGTCTTACAACACACAGGAAATGAGCTAAATCTGTGTCTCAAGCAAAATCAACCGGACCGCTCTTACAGAGACACTCTCTTTAAATGTCTACGCCACTTAGTTACACGTGATAGTGACCAACTCGAAAGCCAAAGCTCCTTTTGTTACTGCGCACATTCCACCTTCGATTTTTTATGCAACTTAATGTTGTTTTATTTTACTTTTGTGATGTATTGTATTATTTTTTTGTAGTAAACTATTGAAATAGTGTAATAAATAAAAATTCTGAATTCTGATATTTTATTTACGAAAATATTGATATGATTGAGAGAAGTACACTATTTTAAATTTTGGAATTCTCTAAATTAGTAAGGGAATAGTCTTCTTGATTAGCAAGTAAAAAATGCTTAACAAAAAAACAAAAAGATTTGAAAAATTGTATTTATAAGGGAAACCTGATACCAAAAATGAAATACTAACAGAGTACACTCTCAGTTTTGCAAAACTGTGTAATTGCTCTGAAAACCATGCTCTCATTTGTAATGTGCGTACTTAACATGCGCTTAATCCCCCCTCTGTTTGCTAATAGTCACTGAATATTGTTTGATGGTCTTATTTCTGATAAACATGTGTTGAGATGTCATCCTTGGGTTCCAGTTCAGGTACATCAAGTCTTGTACGTTGAGTTTTTGGAGGGAAAGAACCACCCAAGCCTCTGTCAGTAACCTGAACGGGTTTGATGCAAACAGAATGTAGTCTGCATCTCCTCGACAATTTCTTCAAAGCATCCTTGAATATTGTCATTCTAAAGCTGTAGACGATCGGATTGACCATAGAATTTGCCAGATGAAAAACATTTACAACCGCCATTACAATCGGTCTAACACATGGTGGGCGGCAAAACGGTCTGGCAGTGTACACAATAGTGGCTGGCAACCATAACACCAGTGACACAGCGATAACTATGAGAACTGTTCTTGACAGTCGTAAGTTGCGTTCAGCTGTATGGTGAGCTTGGATCTCTTCACCAGGAACGACGTTTGAGCGCCATTTCCTACGTATTTGAAGGTAACTTCCACAAATCGCTAATAGTGCTATGAAAAGGCACGCATGAATGGTTAGAATAACGTATTTCCTCTCTAACTTTGTATGATATAAGGATAATACAGTCAGCCCAAAGAAGCAGAATCCAAGACCCCAGACAACAGTTATGACGAAAATGTAAGACCGAGTTCTGGTCGCACGGTGATGAACTGGCCATAAAACGGAATAAACACGTTCCAAGGAAATAAGCGCGAGAAAAAGCACTGAAGTACTCGACGCAAGGACTTGAAATGCAGATGATGGATTTGTAAAACTCTTTTCTTTACCTGGAATGGCCGTCATCTTAGCAATCTTCGCTGTGCCCAGCACAATTGGTTCGGCAATCCCCACAAGCAGATCAGAAACTGCCAGGTTAATAAGAATGAAATATGTTCGCTTCAATTGAGATCGTTGGGTCCAGAAGACAAATATGGTGAACGTGTTTCCAACAATGATAATGAATGCCTCCAATGTATAGATGACAATGAAGGCAGTAACAGCCGAAGAAAACATCTCTTTGCTCTTTCTGTGATCTGTTAGGAAAGAGGGTTTCTTTTATCAATTTATCGAGTAAGCTGAAAATTGATCGCGGAAAAAAGGCTTATCGACTTCTCCGTACGTAACACGAAAATAGTATCGTAAGGGTTATAACTATACCTTAAAATCAGAGAAATAAAATATTTTCCTTAGGTCTTCTTCGTCCCCTCTAATGGTCAAAACTTGCTGAATGCTTCCCTTCATTCCCCCAAAAAAGTGCAAATACAAAATCATGTTTATAGGCTTTTTCAAGCTGTAGAAATGAATTTGCATCTAATTAACAATTATTCCACGAGTGCGCGTTGGATATGAGATGTTAGTAGCCAACGAGGCACGTAGCACCGAGTTGGCTAGAGACTGTTCCCCCCACCTGCCCTGGCCATCATCTATGCAAATGTATTGTAATTTTAAATTATTTGGATAAAGTCGATATACATAGGACAGTATAAGACTCCAAATAAACCATTGTCTTGTCTTGTCTTGTCTTGGAACAAAAGAAAGCGTTTGCATACGAAAAGAGTTCAACTCCCACAGGATTGGTTTGGGACACCAACATTGCCGCCGTTTCATTGTTTTGGGACACCAATATGGCCAAAGTGACGTCATGTAAAAACACTCTATAATCATCTCATATCCAACAATCACGAGTGGATTAATTGTTCTATTAAAAACGCCCACAAAATGTCGATGAATCTCCCCTACTTTATTTTGTCAGAACAAACCGGAAAAGAAAAGGGACTTCCGCTTTTGACATGTCACACGTCTATGAAAACTGACGGACTGGATGAATGAAAGATCAAGCAGGAAATTTCATATATCCCATGATGCTTCACGGCTTATTTTTGTCTTCTCTTCGCCGCGGAAATAGAGTTCTAGGGTTTCGAGGGAGATTTTTTTCAACGACCTGAACTTCAAGATACATCTCATCCAAGTTGAGTTTCAATGTGCCCTGTTGATCTTCGGTATCTGAGTAATGATGTAAAATGCGTGTTTTCATGGCCATTTCACGCATTGTTGCTCTTGTTTACGACCCTGCTGTTTTAACTCGCAATTGAATACTTATTTTAGATGACCTTCAATTATCGAAAACTGTCAGTTACTTAAGCGAAGTTTTGCTGTTATAAATTATTCATATATGCGGACAAGGGGTGCTTGATATTAGTTCCACACTCCGACCTCTTTCGACCTCGCGATTTTCATGGATTTGACCCTTTTGAAATATTGCATTTTCTGCCCTTTCTCCGCTAAAATGCAAATCGAAGGTTTCAATTTCTTCATGCTAAGTCCTGCGAAGATGGGGCATTATTTATTGAATTCACTCTTTTTTCGCTGATCAAAATACACGTATTAGCTTTTGAAGATATGATGAATGTTTAATCTCAATGTTTTCTAGTATTAAACTTTGTTGTTTCATTATTTTAGGTAAAATTGGTTTCTCATGGTGGCTTCCTGTCGCAAACGCGCGCTTGGCGAAGGCCAGGAAATTTCGCTGAATGGCATACCGTAGGACTTCAACCGGGGCATAAAACCTTTGAAGACATATGGATAGTTCTTTTAGAATCCATTGTGTGAATGAGTGGGTGTTTTCGTATACGTATTATGCCATTTCGTAGTAAAGCTTATCTATGTTTGTTTGACAATGATGCTTAACCGGTGGTGTGTTACGAAAAATATAAGATGTCTTGTTATTGTTTTTATTTGAGCTATTCCCTTCCTTTGAATGTTCGATCTCCGGAAGACGTCACTTTGTACTTTAAAGGTCTCGGTATTTTCGACTGCATAAGCCGAGTTTGTTGAAGTAATGGCATGTACAGTCACTGTATGGTTGCATTCATTGCATCGATGAATTATTGAACTGACAATGAGCATCGCGCTCCCAAACTAGCAACGAAAAGAATACTATCGCACACATAGAATATATTCTTTTTTTATTTTAAGACAGGACGTGGAAATCAACGCTTGTTAATCCATGGAGAGCTTTATCAACGCAAGTTAAAACAAGAGACCTTCCTCTTTGCTTCAAAGAACATTTGCGTAGACTGCCTTGCGATCGTAACGCTAGTTTACTATAAATATCGTCCACCAAAACACTCTCTTTGACTTAACAAAAGATATATTTGGACGAAAATCGTGAATAGATCGACACAGCAAAGGTACAGAACGGCTTTTTAGCGAAAAGTGTCGTCCCCTTTGAACTGACAGGACCACGTGCGCTCGAAAGGTTGATAATGCGTGAGTATGAAGCAATGCATCATGGGATAAATGAAATTGCCCACTTCGGTTATACCACTTAAGCTTGATTACCGATTTTGCCTTTACGCATCTGAAATTCTTTACGTACGAGACCTACTGTAAAGTTCCGAAAAAAAGGCCCGGGGCTTATATTTTTCAAAGGCCTTTTTGAGGGGCTTATCTTTGGAGGGGCTTTTATTCGGAGGGGCTTATCTACGGAGGGAAATTTGTATTTCAAAATCGATTGAGCTAGCCTTATAGTTGGAAGTGAATTTACCGTTTTTGCTTTGTTTTACTTCGTATTTGAGGGCAATTTTCCAAGTACGAGCCCCTGGGGGGTCTTATATTTGGGAGGGCGATTTAAAAAGGGTTTTTGCGATACCGGACTGGGGGGCCTATGCATGGAGGGGCTTATTTTCGGAATTTTACGGTATATGACTGAAGGCAGTCTATGCCCAGAAGGGGTACTCTCTATAATGCCTATACAGGGAGGCTCCAGCCGAAAGGGGTACCATTTTCAGGCCTCAGGTATATGAAAGGGTAGGGATTGCTCGCGTTTAGGGGTGTAAAAGGGTAGGTAAATCTGTCATTTTTTTACTTGACCTAAACCTTCAAAAAGCTGCAAACGTTGTTTTAAGTCACGGTGAAAAAAGGAAATTAAAAAATTGAAGTTCAGATTCTCCACAAGTCGAACTCCCTGAGTTATTCAGTCTGAAAGTGGTCAATTTATACATTTCTTTATCAGTAACTCTATTTCGGATTCCGAGGCGTTTCGCTCGGCCTTTCTCTCTCTCTTTTATAAGTCGAGTTACAAATACGCGCCAACTCAGTTGAATATGACTCCGTGCGAGAGATCACCCGCTAGACTTCAGTTCCAACAGAAAACATTAACGGTTGAGTTCCCACACGAAAAAAATCGCTGGGAGCAAACCGCAGAAGCATTCGGTGGCGAACGAAAGTTTAACCTGCAGTCCTTGTCACCTCCAGCATCCCCATATCTTGCTACTTTGCTAGCAACAAATCTACTTGTCTCGATTCGCTTAATCGACAAACGGCAGGTGCTATTATATAGTAATTATGATCCCGTGCAACTTTTAGTTCATATAAGAAAAATTATCTGCTCATTTTTGGAATTTAAAAAGTTAAATAGAGCGCAAAATCAGTCTTACCTTCTCTGGTCCGGTTGATATGATGGCTTAGTTGCTGTTGAACGCCGCCTTTAAAATCGGTCATTGAGCTCTACTGAACGTATTAATCAAGTATCCGAATCTTTTCCACACTTTAAACGCGGTGTACGTGCCATTTTAAAGCTCAACAATTGTAAGCGTAAATAATTGTCTTTTTGTAGAGCGGATATCAGCAAGGCATATTGTACGCAACTTAATGTACTGTTACTAACTGATACATAACACATCGAACTTTTGTGCTCACTCTAATGAACACAGCCAAATAACCGAATAATGAATAAAGCTAAGTAAAAAATCCAAACTTGGCTTATTATATATACATTTTTTTTTTTGCTTGTTTTTATATATATATGTATATATTTCAAATAATGGTATACTTTTTTTAACTGTATAAGCATTGGAAAAAATGTTTCCAAGAAGCCTAACGTGATCGATGTCTTGTCTTCATGGGCCTTGCATAAAGGCGGTTTGCAGTGTATTGTTTGTGAATGAATATTGTATAACTGAGGAAAAAACTCAAGTTTCTTCTATTTTCTTTTAGTCAGAAACAGTGTTTCTCCTTCATAGAAAATGAGAACCTAATTAAGAGCGTCCTTAAACCAATAAAAATACAAGAAACTATTTTGCCAGACTTAACTGAGACTAAAGTAGGTTCTTATACCCGGGTGTTAGTACTTCAGGTTGGCACTTCACGCGCCGCCATAGAAACAGCGATAACCGAGACAATGCGTGCAGTGCAATAAAATCTTTCCGACTTAAATTGAGACATATAATTACATAGTATAAAACTAAATGCTCGGCCTATGAAACATGAGATTATGAAGAAACTGACGCAGTCAAAAGGATTAAGAAGCTCTGATTACATGATTTCGAGCAAAAGATCGAAATGTCAGAAAGGCCTACAAAGACAACAAATCAGTCGGAAACCATTCTATTTGTGCTAATATGAAAAGATCTTATCAACCGAAACTAGCATTTTCTCAACTTGCTATGGTGACCTATGTATTCTAACTTTTATAGCAGCTAAGTGTAATTAAAACAGAAAAACATTTTGTGTCTTCCTTAGCTTAGCTTCCACACTTTTTCCTACGTTTATTTGGAGTACAACCTTTCCATAAGCAGAAGAAAAGCTGTTTTATAGGCCAATACCTTTTAATGACAGCAGGTGCATGAAAATGCGCTAAGATACGTGTTTGTCAAAATATTGTATATCATACTCGTTAGTTCGTTCGGAAGCCCCTTTACTTTAAACAACGCGTGTCCAATAATGACACAGTTGCTTCCTGGATCGTCACAATAATCACAGACTTATGCAATACAAGTTAATGCAAGTAAAGTTTGCTTCAAACCCTTAAACTGAGGGGCTGACAGTTCTATTGATTTTACAGTATATAAGGGTGCCCTCAAGGTCAGGTGTAATGTGAAATCATTGCTAGAATGAAATGAAAATGTCATCAA